GCGCCAATGGATGGCAGCGGACGGAAAGGGAGTTAAAATTGGATAAACTTTTAATCAAAACTAAAATCAAAGCAAAAAATGGGAGAAAATCACAATTTTTGGTATAAAAATAGGATTTCATTGAAAACGAGAATAAAATGGTTTTACGAATAAATAAAACTCAATATTAAGTGACTTTAAAATTTCAAAGACTAGTAAACAAAGGCTTCACAACAGGCTTTGGGCGCTATTATAGGCATTATAGGCGCTAATCATTCGGCGGTCCTTCAGAAGCGTCCTCTCGATCTTCTTCGTCTCCTTTTCGTCCAAATCTGTGACGCGAATCGAAACCAAATACTTGTTCCGCGAGTCCGACAACAGATGGCATTCGGGAACTTGAGAGACGTCCTCATTGGCGCGCAGTCTCTGCATTGCGATCATTATGGAGCAGTCTTTCGCCGTTAACGACACGAGAAACTGGTAGACCTGTCACGTGACACGCGTTAGTCAGCGAAAGACGCCTTCTTCGGACAAACCTTTCTCTGGAGGGACTCGAGCTCCGACTCGTGCGGAACGTCTTCGCGAACGAGTTCTTTGGCGTTCGGCGGACACGAGAAGTGCAAGAAATTGTTGTTTTCCTTTTCACTCATCGTTCGCAACATATCTGAGGCCAACTTCGAGTCCACGCAATCCAAGCGTTGCGCCCAAAGAACGGCCTCCAGAACGGAGCCCACGGCCAGCGCGTGCTCTCCACCCCCATTGCACGCACAGCGGTGCGGGTGGAGCGCGCACTCCTCGGCCGGCGCACTCATTGGCGGGCGTTTGCGGTTGACGTCAACGCGCAGAGCGAGCGCATTGGCCAGCAGTCGGCAGAGGGCGGGCACAACGTCGGCCTCCGATTGGCCGCAAAAGTCGCGCAAAAGGGTTGGGAGGGCGAAGTTGGTGTCGTCACCGAACACGTGACGCCCGTCGCGAAAGACGCGGAAGTTGTTCTGCGGGTCTTCTACGAGCGCTCTCAACGCCGTCTGCGTTCTGTGCGGACATCCGCTGAACAGATCGAGGGGACAGTATTGCGAGCGGCGCGCGATCGAGTGCTTCGACAGCTAAAAGGAGGGAAAGGCGTTAAAAGCGTGTAAAGAGAGAGAAATTGAATACTTTGCGGAATTGCTTCAAACAATAGCGACAAACGCGAGCCTTGACTCTGAGTTCTTCGGAGAGCACTTCCGGTTTGGGAAGGAATCCCTGTTTCGGCTTAATCTCGACGCAAACTACCGGTCCTTCGGTCGCGAATCCTCTCCTCCGAAGACAAGTCGGAAGCCAACAGTAGTCTTCGAGCAGAAGGGCGTAAGTGTCGCCACACGTGACGATCCCTTTCGCGAGACGGAAGCCTAAGAACGGGAGAAACGCATTATGACTGCTCTCAACACATCCGGTCACTCACGCGGCCGTTTGTCGCGCACGAGACGGTCGATGGCGCGGATCTGATCTTCGGAGAGGAGCGCGAGACGCGGCGGACAGTGGAAGGCGGGGCTGAGGGCGGGCGCGATCACCGATTCGACGAACTGGATCTGTCTTGCGATCCGATTGGCCGATCCCTCGCAAGGCGTGTCCGGCGTCTGTTTGAAGAGACGAATGACGGTCTGCTCGGCGATGACGTCACTGACGTCACTGACGGCCACAACCAATGCTGCGTTGCCTTCGCCTCTGTAGTGGAGGCGCGAGTCGTCGCCCAACTCGAGGCGAACGCAGTGTCGAGTCGCGAGCCCTCTTGGGATCAACATTTCCACCAAAATGTCGTCGCGAGAGGTCTTGTGTTGCGATTTCGTCACCACGAGAGTCGTCTTTAACCGCACGGCGCATGTCTTGCACTGACTTTCACTTCAATAACACAACACTCGTTATCTCAACACTTTTGGGCCCTTTTCTGGCCTTATATTGTCGTCCTTATTGTCGCCTCTTCTCCGCTCTCTCTCTGTCCGAAGAAACACGCGTTTTGTCCGCATTTCCACCGCAAGAGTCCATTGCAGTCAAAGTCCTCTCGACTCGTGTTTCGCTCCGAAAGTGGACTCGTTTGCCGCCATTTGAGTGCTGACCCACAACACGACTTGACGCTCACAAAAGGGCCCAAAAGCTCTCTTCGCCTTCACATCTGTTTTCTGTTATCATTGAAGAAAAGTGTGTTTTCGTGAAAAACAGTGAAAAGAACTGAAAATAACTTTATTTCTCAACCGTTTCTCTCTTTCTCACGATTCGATGCAATCCTATGTTTTGCGCCAAAACTCTGTTCCAAACTTTGCCTCCAATTAGGCGTCGAATGTCTACACGTTTTGCTCGTCGTCTGTACTAAAGGCCAGAGACGCGGCAAACGGCCGCCGAATGAACGCAAACGTCGTCGACATCGGCGCCAAAGCGTCCGGCGGTTGGACTCAAAGCAATGGGTGACCACTCAGTGACCACTCAGTTCTCTCTCGTCTCTCTTCTCACGCCTTCTTCTCGTTTTAGCGCAAGACTGGAGTTCCGCCCGAAATACGCGGTCACGAGAGCCGCCCTCAGCCCCGACGGCCGACTCGTGGCCTTCGCAGACAAATTGGGATCCGTTTTCGTCTTGCAATTGGACGACAATCGCTTCCAACTATCGGCCGCTCTTCACTCGCCGGTCACGTGTCTCGCGTTCGTCGACTCCGACGCCGAAGACGTGGACTGCGATCTCATCGTCACGACCGTCGACTCGAATGCCATTCACTTCTTGAGTATTGATTGTCTTCCTCTTCGGCCACTTCTTAAGCTCTCTCTCCGTCAGAGTTGTGCCCGAATTCGTTGCGCAGTCGCCGTGTCGTCCGAATAGACGGCGGCCACAAGTCCTCCATAAACGACGTGTCGTTCGACGGAAAGCACCGAATGATGACTTCTTCCGCTTACGACTCGTCTGCCATTTGGTCGGTCCTCTCATTCCTGAGGCTCAACGCTCTCGACGACCGCAAGTGCCAGAAGTCCGTGTTCTGCGGCCATCACGTGATAATCAGCGCCTACAGGGACGCCGTCTTTGTCCTCGATTCTCACACTTTCGCCGTTTTGCGGAAACTCGAGTCGAGACAACTGCTGGAAGTGCGACACGACTTCTTCGTCACGAAAGACAGAGACAAACGCCGCGAAAAACACGTGATTTCGGCCGAGAAGACGATCGAGTCGTTCCCCGAAAGGGACCGCAAAACGCAACCATTGGCCGAAAGCGAGACATTGTTGGCGGAAAGCGACGCCCTTTTCGTCGCTCTGAGCGCCAAATCGCATCTCATTGTCGTTCGCGTGAATCGTCGGCCAAACACCAGACGAGAAAAGCCCGCAGAAGAAGACAATGCGTCGCAAAGCGTGCAATCGATTGCCGAAGAATTACTTCGAAAGTACGCGAAATTCCCGCAAAAGTACCGAATCTTCATTTGGACACAACTTCTTGCGCTTCCGCGCGACCGCCGCTTCTTCCACGCCATCGACGCGCTCTCAGCCGCTCTTCGGCCGGAAGTGCGAGAAGCGCTCAAAGACTGCCATTTCGTGGACTCTGCGGTCGGCGACTCTTTGGTCGAACTTTTGGCGCAACTCTTCCAATGGCGGCCGGAACTCCTGAACGACAGTTTGGCCGCAGATTTGGCGCTCTTTTGCTTTCCAGTATATCTCGTGACCGCTTTTTGTCTCGAATCCCGAGAAGCGCTTCTTCGGCTGCGAACGCGCCCCGAAATCAAAGCCTACTTCCGGTCGCAGCACTCAATTGCGGCCAAAGTGGTCACCTCTTCGGCGTACTCTCTGGCCCTCCAATACGTGCCCCTAAATGCACACCAATTCACAACCCCTCTCTTCCCCTCTTAGCCGTCACTGTATATATGAATGCATTTGGTAACTCTGTTTCCGAGTGACCCCCCCTTTATTGCTCTCCAAAATTAAAAGATAAACATTTGGAGAAAAGCATACGTTTTGGTACTTTTTGTAATTACAATATTTGCGTGTTTTCTACTTAACTCTGATTGCAATAAATGGTTCGAATGTTTCGTTCGATGAGTTGTTTTATTAAGCGATGAGTGAATGGAAATAAAAGACAATATTTTGAAACAATTGATCCGAAAGTGAATTAATTTCTGCCAAAGAAGTGGACAAAAGCGGACACCAATGGGTCAGTAGTGGACATCTGGGCTCCCAATTGATCTCATAATCCCGTATTCCTCCACAGCGTCGATGTTCCTGAACACTTTGACCCCCAAGTTCTATGTGGCGCTCACCGGCACGTCTTCACTCATCTCTGGCCTCATTCTCGTGAGTCTTCGGTCTTCGCGTCCACTCTCTCATCAGCCCTCCCTCTCTCCCCCTCCAGATCTTCGAGTGGTGGTATTTCCGCAAATACGGCACTTCCTTCATAGAGCAGGTGTCGCTCAACCACTTGAGCCCATGGCTGGGCGGCGCTCCGCCCGACGCCTCCGACGCGCCGCCGAACGGACAGCACGCGAGCGGACAACAGATCTCTTTGGGTTCGTTGACCTCTCACTCGTTCTCTCTCTCTCTCTCTCTCTCTGACGTCACTCTCCCTTAGAGTGCAAAGTGTGGCGAAACCCGTTGTCTCTGTTTCGCGGCCCCGAATACAACCGTTTCGGACAAACCACGCGGAAGGAGGCGCTCACCTATTATGACATGAATCTGTCGGCTCAGGACCACCAGACCTTCTTCACGTGCGAAGCGGACGCCGGGAAACCCGAATACGAGAGTCCGTACGCGAGACATGTCCGGCAATCCTCTAATCACGCCTTTCCTCCGCAGTTATGCAGACGGCGTGGCGCGAGAGGGACCCTCTGGTGCGCATCAAAGCGGCGCGGGAGGCGCTGGAGAAGAGCGCGGAGTGCGCGCCGGCGTACATCCTGTTGGCCGAAGAGGAGACGCAGACGATAGTGGAGAGCGAGAAGCTGTTGAAGTCGGGGCTGAAAGCGGCCGAAAGCGCGTACCGGAAGTCGCAGCAGTTTCAGCACCAGAACAACCAGTTGGAAGCCCTCCATCGCCGCGACACCAATGTCCTCATCTACATGAAGCGCCGGCTGGCTATGTGTGCGCGCAAACTCGGGAAACTGCGCGAAGCGACCAAAATGATGAGAGATCTCATCAAAGAGTTTCCGCTGACGAACGTCTTCAACATTCACGAGAACCTCATTGAAGCGCTGCTCGAAATGCAGGCCTACGCTGACGTCCAGGCCGTGCTCGCCAAATACGACGGTAGGCCTGCCTTCGCCTCTTTATCCCCTCTTAACCCTTCTCTCCGCAGACATAAACCTCCCGAAGTCGGCCACCATCTGCTACACGGCGGCGCTGCTGAAGGCGCGCGGAGTGTCCGACAAGTTCTCGCCCGACTTGGCCTCCAGACGCGGCCTCTCGACGGCCGAAATGAACGCCGTGGAGGCCATCCATCGCGCCGTCGAGTTCAACCCTCACGTTCCCAAGTATTTGCTCGAAACCAAGAGTTTGATCCTTCCGTCGGAACACATCCTCAAGAGAGGCGACTCCGAAGCCATCGCTTACGCCTTCTTCCATCTCAATCACTGGAAACGCGTCGACGGAGCGCTCAACCTCTTGCACTGCACGTGGGAAGGCAGTCAGTGTCCACTCTCTCGCATGTCTATCCTCTTCTAACGCTCTCTCGTCCGCAGCCTTCCGTATGATTCCGTATCCGCTGGAAAAGGGACACCTCTTCTACCCGTATCCCAACTGCACGGAAAACACGGACAGAGAACTACTGCCACGTGAGTACTCAAACGTTGCGTCACTTCCGCCCTAACGTCCACTTCCGCCGCAGTCTTTCACGAGGTGTCCGTTTACCCCAAGAAAGAGCTTCCCTTCTTCATCCTCTTCACGGCCGGTCTTTGTTCCATTACCGCTCTTCTGGCGCTTCTTACGCACCAATACCCCGAACCCATGGGCTCTCTCGCCAAACTGGTAATCGCACGCTCACTGTCTCTCTCGCACTGACCTCCCGTTCCTCCGCAGCTCGTGAGTTGGCTGTCGCTTCCGTTGGGTTTCGTCGTCGACAAAATGGAGTCTCTTTTGCCGTCTTCTCTCTTACAACAGTTGTCTCGCATTTGAACACAAATTGTGACCAAAAATTAATTTAAACACAAAATTCTCAAAACTATTTATTTAAAGCTTTTCTCT